ATTCCGAAACGTCGTCTAGTTTAACTTCCTTTTCAATTAGATCACTTACTTTCAGGTGAGCACTGATGATGACGAAAGTCGAAAGCGCTTTGCAAGAATTTTAAAAATCATACACTTTAATACAAAAAACCTCTTCGATTCGTCAACTCACTACTAGTAATAATGTAGATATCACTTTCAACACAAAAATGAGAACAGCATTTCTAATCATTTCTCAATTGTAATGGTCCTCTTATCAGAGAAGAACTAAAAAATTAACAAAAAAGTAGCGTAAGAAACAAATGTAAGAATTCCAAAACATTCCAACTGAGCAATGGCGTACAACAATTTGCTACTATTAACCATATTGAAAAAGTTAATTATTGGAAAGAACTCTTTCAAATACATCCAAATTTTTAAAAATGTACACCATTGTTTAGAGAATTCCAAGATCTTTCAAACGATGTACGACTCGCCCCCTATTCCCTATTGAAATTCCAAGGGTTGTTCACCCCTCTGCTCCGGGGTTGAAGTGACGACGATGTAAATGGGAAAAACAAACTGTCCCCCTCCCAATAAAATTCGACCTGCCTGAGCGTTTTTTCGGATTTTCAAAATTAGTACCCAAAACCTCCATGTCAAGTTTTCGATGGCCCACCCTGTATACAGGGTGTCCCTGGACTTCCTCTTTTCCTCTCGGGAATGTATAGATGGGGTCAAAATATCACCAGTACTTCATATAACTTTTTTTCCNTTTTCGGATTTTCAAAATTAGTACCCAAATCCTCCATGTCAAGTTTTCGATGGCCCACCCTGTATATAATACAAAATTCTCTATCGATCAGTATTCACCGCGACACAGTAGAATAAGTATTTATTGAGATATGGAGCTACAAAATCACATGCCATTGAAACGGATAAATCTTTTGAAACAATCTTATATTTGTCTCAGTGAAACAAATTGAATCAAGTTTTGATTTTAATAAGTCAATAAGTCTTCTGCTGGAACAGATCCCTCACACAATCATCTCTTGTAGGTTGCAGCGTCACAACACCAGCATCAGTAGGAACGGATTCACGCATGGAACCACCAGGACGAATGGTTCTTCCAGGCACTCTTCGACCAGGGATCACAACCGGTACCGGAACTCTAGTCCGGGACCGTGTGTCTACTACCCCGCCCATCGGCTCAGCAAGGACATCAGCACATACACGACGCACACTTACGTTCCGTCCGACTGACGGTGGCTGCCTCAGGACATCGTCCAGGAGTCATCCGTGTGACACCCTGGAGAGACGTCCTTGAAGGATATCCACGATTTTTTCCGGATACAGGTCGAGCTCGAATAGAGCAGGTGAATGTGTTTCGAGAAGTTGAAAGTGGCTGGAAATGGAATATCACCAGAAGTAATGGTTTTTTCTATATTAGATGACGTAGGTGGGGCATCACAATCGGAAAATCCTTAAAGTATCATTCGTAAAATCTCGAGTCCGAGACTGTATATCAATCTCATCGTTTTTGATTGCCAAAATGATCCCCGCAAGAAATTCCCACAGTTACTGGCCCAAAACTATATTTCCTGGAGCCTCTTTAAGTGATGAATTAGATTTGTTTCCTCTTCATTAGAAAAGTATACAGTGAGGATCTGATAAATTATTATATTTCATGCTGAACCACCATTCCTCAACCTCACGACTGATAAATTATTGAAAAATTATTATGTTTCATGCTGAACCATCATTCCTCAACCTCACTGACTCATTTAGAATGATTCAGAGTTCTAACACATTATCATTATCACACATTATTGATGATTTCGAATGAATAATTTCGGTACGTTCCAAATGGAAGTAGTTTTATCGACATCCCGCTGTCACTAATGTTACGCCCATGACTGCATTCTCAGTGAATAATTCTCAAATTCAACACTTTCATTCAATAATACAAATCACAACTCGACCCTGTTCTTCAGTCACATTTTGTGATTATTGTTCCAATTCCACTGTCGCTTGTTCGGACTGATCTGCATTATAATTGAAACTGGCTCCCTTTGGAGGATGATATATAATACTTCCGAATGATCTTGTATGGTCGACTGAATTATTTGGCGGCTCCTATAGGACCTTTATTCACCTTCGTCTATTTCATAGAATTGGATGTATTATACAATAATCAGGACATTGATGTGACGTCAGCAGCTAGGTTGTCGGATTTGTCAGTGAGGCTTCATTCACTTGATCTTTTTTTATACTCGCCATGGGCGTAACATTGTCTTTCTCTTCAAATAACTCCTTCTCGAGTAACTAGTTTGCTTTATTATTTCTCAATCATCTTGGAAGTTTCCTTTCTGAAAAGGTTGATTTTATTAAGGAGGCCTTTCAACGTGTACGACTACAGTAGACCAAGTCTTTTCTCTCCTTGGTCTCCATATATGTGTAGTGTTAGAACAGCAATTTTTTGTTCAAAACTTCATTTCTTTGGCTTTCCATTTCATCCTCTTTTTCTTCCAGTCTCTGATAATCTGTAGACGTTTTCTCAAAAATGCATGGACGAATATCCTCAATGAAGCCCCTTTTGCTGTTTTTCCTTTGCTGTTTTTCATGCAACTTGCTTTATTTAGGGATGGTTTGTATGATGGTTTTATTGACTTCATCTTTAGAAGAAGCTATATCAGGTTACTTTTCTCAACAGCATCTACCAGTTCGTTGGATGTCTACCTAACGTCAAGATGAAAATGTGCATTCCAATCTGTTCTTCAGATTCTCAGTGCTTTACCACACAGATCTTTTACAAGACAGTAGACTTTTTCATCTTGATCTAGCTATTGGCAGTAAATACATCCTTGTGTTCTCTGTGGCACGTGACTTGTGTTAACTGATCATAATATCACTGTTCGATTTGTTCACATGTTCATTCTATTCATAATTCCATTCCTTCCATGACTCATTGATTGATTTTTTCCAACTCGTCTTCAACTCATAACACTCGGGAGCCTAACGTATGCTTCTCATCCTGGACTCCACCTCGGGCCCCTTTGATATCCTTTCACCTTTCCTCTCTGCACTTCTTCCCTACCTTCTACCTTCTCTGCTTTCTTTTTTCTTCCTTCTTCTTTCTTTTCTGCTCTCCTACGTATTTTTTGTTCATCCAACAACTTGATAATACCTGCCATATCCTCCATCTAGTTGATCTCATTCGCTGGGGTATTCACCATAGACAAAGAATTGTTAAGCCTATACGTGGGTTCTTGATACTGAACTGATTCGCATTTTAATCCAACCAACTCATGTTGGTCGATACTCTCATATCTCTTGTATCATCTTCAAACTTCTCGAGATTACTTGACGGTTTCTATAGGATATTCATTCGCCTTTGCTTATTTTCGAGCTCGATTCACGGAATCGCTTGATACTCAGCACGCCGATGTGACGTCATACACACTCCGTTGCCAGTGGCGGTTCGTTCGCTCGATCATTTCGTAGAGTCGACATGGAAGTAGAAATATTTTTCAATAATTTGTTTTCTAAAGAAGAAATCAGAATAGGAAGAGATGAAAGTTACGTAAAAAGCATCAGTTACAGAGTAGTAATATACTGATTTCTTGAATAGGGTTTTCCAATTGCCCCTCATTATGTGACTGAGTTTTCTCATCTACTTTCTCAGTGAGTGAATGTACTTCCGTAACTTTCAATGAGTTGGCCTAAAACTTCAAAAATGTTCACGAATGGATATCATTCTTAGTTCATCGCGTTTAGTCAGGGTATTAATGAATCCACAAATCATTCGCAACACGGCGTGGAAAGTGATTCCAGGTTTATAATAGTGGCAGCCTCTCTGAATGTTTTACGAAGATAGATAACCAATATATTTCATTATTCAGTCACTTTCAAAAACTGTATGTAAACAGTCTATGCAAAAAGTGTAAATAATAGATGTAGCAAAATTATATAGATTAGAACAAGGTTGGAGAAATATCGAAAACCTCTACAATATATCCAAGGACTATACTGTGAAACCTCTAGTACTATTTGAAACATAGAAAAATAAAACAGTCAGCATGATGGTAGTCATAATGAAAATCTATCGAAAAAATCATTATTAATTCATGAATGGTGATGAAGTTATGATATAAGTCTGACTCGGGAGAGCTTGATAATAGTGTGAAGTTTATTTTCATGAATGAATGTGAAAAATTCAGTGATAGACTCTATCATAAAGTTTAATGGAGTTGTATCACCAGACTGTTAGAATCGATTAATGTTTCATTTCTTACGAAGTTGATGTACATCATAATGGCATTAACACACCATCTACCATCTGTGGATCCGAACAAACTGCGATTTCAGTATATTTTTTGTTCTTATTCTTCTTTCAAATTCCTCACCGATCGATTCCCAATTGAATGGAGGTAGAGAATTAACAAGCAAAATACTTGTTATCAGAATGCTTTCGTCAAATCAGCTGGCTTCTTCAGAGGTTCATACACCTTGAGTCATAAAATCATCGGAGATGAACTGAAGAGGTACATAGTGAGTCAAATTGCATATTTCCGAAGGGAAACTCCTGTTTTCAAACTAGATAAATTTTAAGGTCAAATTTTATGAAAAACTCGATGTTTTTCGGAAATGGGTTCATTGTAAATTTGACCCTCAGACACAGACATCAGTTCTCACCTGATGAAAACATGAGTTTTCCTTCAAATTTGGCCCACTATATATAAACCTCTGGAGAATCTAGCCATTCGTGCCGGGGAGACGTCAGGAAGAAATTTCAAAAATCGACGACCTTCAAAACCGAATTAAAATAGGTACTCTGATTGTATACACACTTCTAAAATTCAGAAAATATTGTTCACCTTTGTTAACGGTGGTTCTAGAACATAATCTGATACAAATGCAATGTAATTAGCAGACATGTGTGACTGTTCATGATATTTATTTTGTCCAATAAAAATTTCAGTTCCTATAATTTCCTGTTTCATTCGAAGGAACTTCCTGATAACATGCTAATATGCAGAAATGCTATTTTTGTGTCCATTCTGAGACCAATCAGGATCAGATGATCAAAATCTAGTAAACAACTCCCTCCCTACTCTACAGATACAGATATTAAGGTTTCGTAGACGATAGAAAAGGATAAATCTTTTTTCTGTTCAAATTATGGAGACTTTATACGATCTTCTTCAGAAACTCTGTACACATAAAGATCATCGAAACAGGGGAGATTGGTATTGGTAATATAAAATATATTAAGTAACTAATTCTAAGTATATAACGATGAGAATGAAACTGTAGCCGAAGCAAACGGTTTTAACCCAGATATAGTTGACAAGATAGTTAGAAAATGCAAGTTTAGGGAAGCACTTCGTAAATCTTCGACTTTTCAAAAAGAGGAGAGTAATAACAAGTTTATAGTAATCCCATATGAACCCCAATACACGAGAGGGCTTCAACAGATATTCGCTAAAGATAATATGAAAGTTGCATATAAAACTTCTCATAAATTGCAACAGCTTCTTGGTAATCCAAAAGATAGACTAGAAAACACAGAAAGGTCGGGGATTTACGAAATCAGTTGTCAAGATTGCAACAGCAAATACATCGGCCAGAGCCGACGAGCGATTAAAACCCGCTTCAAGGAGCATTGTGCACCACATGAAATACGGAAGGATAGAAAAATTCAGTGTCGCCCAACATGCTCTGGACAAGGACCACAGAATTGGTGAAAACGATCTGAAACTGATTAAGCATGTGCATGACACCAGGCTACTCGATGCATGTGAGAGTCTAGAAATAGCAAACAGCATGAATGGCGACAAGGGACCCAGAAATTCCATATTGGACTTCAGGTATACAACCTCAGGTAACAAATTTTAGTATATGAGGACTAACCAGACTAGACTAGGTATCAATATCCTTCCCCTGAGGATGCTTACTTTGTTGGCGAAACGCGCGCCGAGTGCAAAAATATCAGTTTGGTGTTAGGGCAATTGATCTAGGACATGGAAAATGAAGTTACGGCTGAAACTACTCAAGAGTATAACAGTTTTTTGACAATAATAGTTGCTTAACTTTTGTCTTGTAAACATGTACATTGTAAACATTGTACATTTCCTGAAACTTCAATGTAATTGGAAAGTTTGGACTCACGACAGTCTAGTCTGAACATAGCACGAATTATTCTTTTTTGTGCCAGAAAAACTCTGATACTGGAAGTTGCTAGCCCATAGACTAAGATGTTGTAACTAATGGTCGAGTAGACGAGGGCATAGTAGACTTCGATTAGCCCTTCTTCGTTCAGGCTGCTTCTCAGGTTATTTATGGCAAAGTATTGTTTACTTAGTTCAGAGCAAATGTTGTTAATGTATTCGTCCCAGCGGAGAGTTTCATCTAGAACTGTGTCTGAAAAAATGCATTTGGAATTGAATAGGAAACTATATTGTCTAAATGTGATATTTTGGGCGATTATGGGATCTACACAGGGTCTGTGGAATCTTAATAGTGTTGTCTTTGAGTGGTTCATCATTAGGCGAATTTTGTGACGCCATTCATCGAATTCGTGGAGGACCTTTTTTGTTTCAAATATCACTTCATCTTCGTTTATGCTAGATGAGATTATAGATGTGTCGTCTGCATACATGAATACTTCGCCGTAACTCATGTAGTCAGGTAGATCATTGATGAATGATAGAAAAATCAGGGGAGCGAGCACAGTTCCTTGAGGTATTCCCGAATTAACCAGGTATTCGTCTGAAATTTCATTAGTCACCTTCACAATTAGTCTTCGCCCTTGTAGGAATGACTGAATCCAATCAAGTATATTACCTCGTAGTCCTATTGCTGATAATTTTGACAATATAAAATCAAAATTGAGGCTATCGAAGGCACGCAAGAGTTCAAAAAACAGTCCGAGAATAAACTCATTTTTATCCATCTTGTTATTAATCAGTTGTACAAAAGAAGTTGTTATCGTTCCGGTTGACTAGTTTTCCCTGAATCCGTGTTGGTTTTGATTCAGTATATTGAATTTTATAAGAAAACAAATACAATAAATATATCATTCTAAAGATTACATTTCATTTCAAATCCACTGTTAAGGAATTCATCGTCGCTGTAGAAGGTCATTTCTAAAATTTTGAAAATTTTCCGAGATATTAAGAAAAAACTAAAGCCCAATTTTTTTTTCACTCAATTGTTTACAACTTTTGTAATTTTTATCGGCGCGTTTTCGGACCTTTTCTTAAACTTTCTAGGCAAAAATACGTAATTGCGTCGTAATTCTTGGACAGGGCTGAAAAATGTCACCAAAAAGAGCTAAATAGAGTACATGTGAACCAGACTGTAGAATCCAAATGAAATGATGAGACAAGTGTGCTGTCGTCAACAAAGAAATTTGTTAGATTTTTGTTTTTTTCCAATAAGTCGTTGATCTATCAGTTCAAAATCTGTTTTTCCGTTAATCAGCTGTCGCTCCCATACGAACAACAACTCTCAGAAGTTGAGAAACTTGTGCGAGCTAAGGACTAACGAGGTCTCACCTTTCAACGTGTGATTCCTAACACGGATATACTAGATGGCGATGATATGGATCCCTGAGGAACACCAGCCTTGATGGTAGAAGTATTGAAAGATATCCATCGACGGACGTTAGCAGGGAAGGTTCTTAGAGGAAGCTAAAGAGCCATGCACAGAAATAATTCGACAAGCCAACGGTCAAAGGTCTTAGAAATATCAAGCGCAACAGCTCTTGATTCTCCATGGTGACCAAATATAGGCGACCAAAGGTCGCCTTTTGATCTTTATTGATGATTGCTCAAGATGTTGAACTCTTTCAAATATTTGAGGATATGGTGGTTTACGATATCACTGATAGTACAGCTACTGCTTCGAAGATTGGACAAAACACTAGCAGACTCCTCTTCCGTATCAAACTATAGAAACACAGAACTGCACACCTTTTTGCAGCACCTCAACAGCGTCCACAATGCCATTTCCGGCAACTGGAAAAACTATCTGTACCGAGAACCATCATATACTTGACAGTTTCTGAATTACGAACCTATCAACCACTAATCAACCACGAGAAGAATCGTGAACACCCATATGGATTCTGCTTTCAGTGTCTGTATCATAAAGAAAATCCCTGACAGAGGACTAGACCACATTAGGGAGGAATTTCAGCATAATGCTTACTTGAAAAAGCTGATGTAAGTAACTTTGGCTTAAGCAAAGAAAAGTAGCCGTCACAACCACTGTTATTCTTTTCATACTTCAGAGGATTTGAAACAAATACTTTTATCTAAACGTTGAATTATACGAAAAACACTTTTCTCTATTCCGTTTGTATTCCAAACATTCGTAATAGGATCGAATCAGATATCGTTCACAGGATTCCTACACAATATAATTAATGAAAGAAAGAAGAAAGAAATTTCACTCATATGGAACAGTGTCATTCTCACTGCTAGACAAGATTCCCATATGTTTTGTATCAATATGAGGGAGTAGAAGGCCAAAAACTTTCTTTCCCAAAAACTGATCTCTCCTGAAAATATGCCCTTTCAATAATTTGGAGAAATCGATTGTTTGAAGTAGTTTCTGTAGCAGGAAGTGCTTAAGAGGTGTGAAATGATGATATTTTTCATGCGTTCAAGTCATCCACTTTTTCTTGCACTTCACTGGCATGCATTCAATTCACCCATACATTTTTTGGGGACCCATCAACATTCTGCCCTAAATATTCATCACACCATACAGACAGCATTGGAATTTAAAAAAATAGGGAGGTTTTAACAGGATCCGTCATGAGAAGTTTTACAAACATGTTCGAATATCAAAGTGCACTAACACCCTTGAAATCGAGCTTATCATTCTGCAGATGTCATGCATTGAAGTATGATCGTACTCACTATTTCTTCTCTTTCCCGAATATTCTCAAATGAGTAACTGTATCATCAATTTCAGTTACAAATTAATTATGTGTGATTGGACTGAAAAAAAACGAAAAAACTCCCCAAAGTGAACTATTATATCCGTGAATTCAGACACAAAAGGGTCAATGGAACTGACAAACTCTATTTTAAGTCCTCGCCACGGCAATTGGGGTTAAGGATCGGGGGCAAGTCGTGGAAGTTCTTCAGACGCCTATTTATATCAATTTGAGACAATGGGACTCCAGAATGAATCATTTTGATATTTCCGAGGACTGCCTTCATTGGAATTTTCATTGTTAATTAGAGGTTGTCTATTTTTGTCAGTTCATCGTGACTTGCTTGTGAATATACATTGACGAATTAGAATAGTTACCACGCAAAAAAGGTTTTGAAGTCGTTACGGTTATCGCAGATTGAATCCAGCCTAATCATCAAGTTGGAAAAAGTGAAAAATGTAGGTGAACCTCCTAAAAATAAGGGGTCTAGAGACATGTATTCCGAGAATTCTACAGTGGATGAAAAATTACGTGAGTAAATATTGTTATTCAATCAATGTTAGGCAGCATAATCATTTTAATGTATCAAATTCACAGCAGACAAAGAAAAGAGAAGACTGTATGGTATACAGCATACGAATCGCATGCAAGCATTTTGTATACGTTGCAACTTCTGCTTGTTATATCGCGGCAAAAAATTGTAATACACCGAACAACAATAATCGATATGGGGTTAAATAACAGTTTTAAGTAACCTGAGTTTCATTTCTTCTGATAACTGATACTTAAATTTATATAGCGATTTGAGTTTGAAGAATGATACTTTGAAAATGAGATTTTTAGCACCATCTACCCAGTCAATGTCTGCGTTATCAAAAGTGAGCCTAAAGTTACACTGGGTTTCTACTATTTGTCTTTGAGACCCTATGCATAAGGCCAAAGTTTTATATTGGCCACGCAACTTTCTTTATCGGTGTTATGAGAAGACAAATATTACTAACTGTATATCATCTGCGTATAGATGTAATTGACAATCTAAT